GGGTGATGGTGGAAGATGAAGAGCCTGATCAGATACTGATGGTGGGTGGTTCTGGTTAAACTGACTAAGCAGGGTTCTTCCTAAAACTAGATTTTACAAGGAAGAAGTGAACAGGCGTGCTCTTCCTCCTGGAGAGCTCTTTCCCTTCCCCTTCATCTTCCCCCACAGGCATACACTTCCTAAACTCTAAGGGAGCCCATCAGACTTGCAACCAGGGAAGCAATGAGCAGCAAGCAGCAGCTTGTCCCGGGCTAACCCTCTGAACCTGTCCCCAAGGCCCCCTCTTCTCTGACTCTCCAGAGGGCTGACAGCCCTGCCCTGTCTCTCTCCTGTTGCTTCTTCTACCCTAACCCCTTAGTTGTTTCACTGTCCCTAGCTTTAATAAATGTACTCTCAAGCTAAAATTTAAAAGAATTAATTAATAAAGAAAAAAGTGAGCAGATGAACCTAAGAGAGGGTTCAGGAGAATAAAGTTTGGTCAAGCAACAAATCTTTGTCAATATCCAACAAAACAAAAAGGAAACAAACCAAATGGGAGAAGATATTTGCAAGCAATAGCTCCGACAAAATAATTTATACATTTCAACACCAAACAAACAATCTAAATAAAAAATAGGCAGAGGACCTGAACAGACACTTCTCCCAAGAAGACATCAAATGGTCAGCAGATATATGAAAAGATGCTCAAAGTCACTAGTCTATTAGGGATATGCAAATCAAAGGTACAATGAGATACCACCTCACACCTGTTAGAATGGCTATTATTAACAAGACAGGTAATAACAAGTATTGGAGAAGTTGTGAAGAGAAAGGAACCCTCATTCACCATTCACTCCTGGTAGGAATGTAAACTGGTACAGCCATCATGGACAAAAAAAATAAACAAACAAAAAACACAAAAGAAAAAGAAAAACATAAGACACAGAAATTATAATCCACAGTTGCTTAAATATATTAACTAAAAATGCCCATTTTTGAACATCTAGAAGAACTATGAAATATCCAGAGAAACAGAAAAGTGTTACCAATACTCTGAAAATAAAGCAGCCAAAACATTAAAAAAATGTTTAAACCTATGAAAACATGTTTAAAAAAAAAAAAAAAAAATCTTTGTCAATATCAAGCAGCTTTTATGTGTTTAGAAATTCTATTATTATTCTATTGCTGGATTAAAATAAAGATTACTAACTTTTTTGGAAAATTATTTTGAGGAGAAAAATCTCCTGTGGTAGTAACCATTGCAAAGAATACATAAAGAATTACTGAGTTAGGTGCTCCCTATGGCTGTGAACTTCCGAAGGAAAAAACCAAGCTGCTTTACCATCATTGCTGTCATCATCACTTCATGTAACAATACTTAAATGCTTAATATGTTCCAGGCACTGTACTAAGCATTCTATTTTATCCTCTGAACAAGCTTATGAGTAGGCATTAATATTTTCTTTTAATAGATAAGAAAAATAAAGGACACAGAGGTTAAGTAACCTGACCCAAGATTACACAGTAAGTGGCGGAGCTAGAATTTGAATTTTGGTAGTTTTTTTTTTTTTTTTTAATTCCTTTTATTTTTTGAAGGGAGGTAGAGAGAGAGAGAAACGAAACATCGATGTTTTAGTTGCCTCCCACACAACCCTGACAGGGGCCAGGATTGAACATGCCCTTGACTAGGAATCGAACCCATGACCTGTTGGTCCGTGGGCCAACGCTCTAACCACTGAGGCAGGGCTTTAGGTAGTTTTTTAAAGATCTACCTCACTGTGCTATCTATCTACCATTTCATTTTTGTGTTTGTTACCTAGAAAAGAATCTGGTATGTGACTATTCAGCATATATTTATTTAATGAATGAATCTAAGGAACTATTTTACCAAAAAATAATATACCTCAGGCAGCTTACTGATGTGGAAAGTACACTGCATGAGAAATCAGGAAAGTTGAATTACAGATCTGGCACCGCCACTAATTAACATGTGCTCTCAGTATCTTAGCTTCTTAATGTCTGCTGAACATAAGGGTGTTGAACTAAGTTTCCTTTGGTTCTATAATCTACTACTTTACTGTTATGAATTTATTCTTTTATTTATGCAAATTTTTTTTTTTAAATCCTCACCCGAGGACATTTTTCCATTTTTTGCACAGATAGAGTGGGAGGGAGAGAGAGGAAGAGAGAGAGAGAGAGAGAGAGAAACATCGACGTGAAAGAGGCACATCGACACGACCAACCAGGGCCGGGGACAAACTGCAACCGAAGTACATGCCCTTAGCGGGAAACGAACCCGGGTCTCTCCGGACCGCAGGCCGATGCTCTAACCGCTGAGCCAAACCGGCCAGGGCTATTTATGCAAATTTTTATGCAAATGAATTTTGCACTTTTTTTTTATTCTCACCCGAGGACATTTTTGCATGTATCCTGAGAGAGCGAGAGGGAAAGAGGGGGGAAGAGAAAGAGAGAGAAACATCAATGCGAGAGAGACACATTTGACTGGCTGCCACCACACTATCCCAACCAGGGCCGAAGACAAACCGCAACCAAGGTACGTGCCCTCAGCAGAACCGAATCCAGGACTCTCTGGTCCGCGAGCCAACGCTCTAACCACTAAGCCAAACCGACCAGGGTGAATTGTGCACACATTTTAAGGGGGGAAAATCCTTAATGTGTCAGAATCCTTTTTGTTCTTTTAATTTTTTTCTTTTATCCTCACCCACGGACATTTTTTCATTTTTTGTTCAGATAGAGTGGGAGGGAGAGAGAGGAAGAGAGAGAGAGAGAGAAACATCGACATGAAAGGGACACATCAAGTGGTCGCCACCCACATGACCCAACCAGGGCCAGGGACAAACTGCAACCGAGGTACATGCCCTTAGCGGGAACAGAACCCAGGTCTCTCTGGACAGCAGGCCGACGCTCTAACTGCTGAGCCAAACCAGCCAGGGCAAGAATCCTTTTTTTAAAGAGACAAGGACTCCTTTTTTTGGTTTTGTTTTTAATCCTCACCATAGGACATGCTTAGAGAGAGGAAGAGAGAACGAGAAAGAGAGTGAGACGGAGAAACATCAATTGGTTGCCTTCCATACATGCCCTGACTAGAAATCAAACCTATATCCCAGTATGTGCCCTGACCGGGAATCAAACCAGCAACATTTTCAAGGCACAAGATGACGGTCAACTAACTGAGCCACTTCAGCTGGGCGGTATTCGTTTCTTTACATACATCTACATTTAATGTATTCCTCTTGTAATGGAAACACATCTTCTTTGATTAATCCATACAAATTCTTAACACCTGGTACGGCAAGATGCTTTGCGGTTGTATCATGTTTGAAGCTAGGTCAGATATCAAGGCTAGTTGCCTCACTCTTTTCTACAACCAACATTACTCAAGGAGGAACAAGTCAGGGGACAAATGGGGCAGATCACAAGTAGCTACTGGAAAGCTCTGCAGCTGAGTCCAGGGATTATCATGGCCCTGTCAAAACTGTGAACCAAGGTGAATTGTCCCTTCCTCTGACCCTTTTCCTTTTCTTTCAGTAACTTTTCCATATTCAGCTGTCTAGCTTTATTCAGTACAGGACAGCAAGCTGTCATAGTAGAAAGAGCACTGCCCTGAGATACAGCATATCTGGATTCTGCTTGAGTTTCTACAACTGACTAGCTGAGATGCCTTTTCAAAGGTTTAATACCCTTGATCTTCCAGGGTCAAATGACAGCAGAGGTCAAACTGTAACTCCACACTACTCTTTGGCTTTAAAGTTTTGATCCTAAAACTAATTTACACTCAAGAATCAGTAACTTAACATATTATCTCTACAGCATTTTAAAAAGGAGTCAAGCCCTGGCCGGTTTGGCTCAGCGGTTAGAGCGTCGGCCTGCGGTCCTGAGAGACCCGGGTTCGGTTCCCGCTAAGGGCATGTACCTCGGTTGCAGTTTGTCCCCGGCCCTGGCCGGTTGTGCGGGTGGCAACCACTCGATGTGTCCCTTTCACATCGATGTTTCTCTCTCTTTCTCTGTTCCTCTCTCTCCCTCCCACTCTACCTGAACAAAAAATGGAAAAATGTCCTCGGGTGAGGATAAAAAATAAATAAGTAAATAAATAAAAATAAAAAATAAAATGTTAAAAAAAAAAAAAAAAAAGGAGTCAAGATAGAGGACAATGCTTATTACAAAAGGATGACTCTTTTTTTTTTTTTAATGTTTATTTATTTTATTTATTTTTTCTTATTGCTTTTAGAAAGGAAAGGAGAGGGAGATAGAAACATCGATGAGAGAGAACATCGGTCACCTCCCGCACGCCCACCACTAGGGATTGGGCCCACAACCTGGGCATGTGCCCTGACTGGGAATCGAACCGGTGACCTCTTGGTGCATGGGTCAACGCTCCACCACTAAGCCACACCACCCGGGCTGGGATGACTCTTTAATGATGAAGAGTCTAGGGCTTTAGGTATAGTCTATTTATTTGTGCATTAAATTAAACTATTTAAAAGTTCTTATTCTTCTAACATCAAGCAACCTACCCCTTCCTCCAAAATGGTACTGCTAATTTTACACTAAAAAGTTTCTATTATTTTAACTGGCATTTAGCTTTTGGGTCAGTTTTAAGTAATATTTTCAAAAGTAGGTCCCATTTATTTTTTTAAAAATCATTAAAATACATTGATTTCTGGCCCTGGCCAGTTTGGCTCAGTGGTTAGAGCGTCGGCCTGCGGTCCGGAGAGACCCGGGTTCGGTTCCCGCTAAGGGCACGTACTTCGGTTGCAGTTTGTCCGTGGCCCTGGTTGGTCGTGCGGGTGGCAGCCACTCGATGTGTCCCTTCACGTCGATGTTTCTCTCTCTCTCTCTCTTCCTCTTTCTCCCTCCCACTCTATCTGTACAAAAAATGGAAAAATATCCTCGGGTGAGGATAAAAACAAAAAAAAACATTGATTTCTGTAGATTTTATCAATACAGATTATGCACTGATTTAAAGGATCAACAAGTAGAAGACAAATTTGGAAGTTTACCTGTGAAGCTGTTAGTGTTTCCAGTTTATGAAGTCTCTGAAGGACGTTCTGCATGTCCTCCTGCAGTCGCATGAGCACAAGAGCAATCTGCTCGTTGAGGCTGCCTCTTGTCCCTCTGTCTGAACCCCAGCGTTCCCCATCCCCTCCACTTCCCACTTGCCGACCCTTGGTTCCTTCGTTCAAATGTTGCATCCTATGCCCTGTTTTAAGAGAGCAAAATAGGTTAGTTCTAAATTATTCCCGGAGAAATGGTGTGTTTTATTCATTTTCCAATTATTTCTTTGAGATCTAACTCTCCTAAGTGGAGTGGGAGCAATCAGGAACTACACAAAATAAATTATTGGAGTCAAACAGTAGACATGTACACTTCTACTCATATTGATATATTCTAAGATTTTTGTCTAAGGTTTTATAATGTACTTAATATACTAGTACATGACTAAATGCATATAATTCACAAATAACATATACATATTCAGGGTGCATTCGCAAAAATTCTTTACTAAAAGGTAACTGATTTGAAAATATTTAAAGACTTTCTTTAGAGTATTAAAAAGTACACCAAATAGCCCAGCCAGTGTGGCTCAGTGGTTGAGAGTTGACCCATGCACCAAGAGGTCGCTGATTCGATTCCCGGTCAGCGCACACGCCCAGGTTGTAAACCTGATCCCCAGTAGGGGGCATATAGGAGGTGGCCAGTTCATGTTCTCTCTCATCAATGGTTCTATCTCTCTCTCCCTCTCCCTTCCTCTTTCTCTAAAAATCAATAAAGAAAAAAAACTTTTTTTATTAAAAAATTAAAAAGTGCCCTGGCCGGTTTGGCTCAGTGGTTAGAGCATCAGCCTGCGGTCCCGAGAGACCCGGGTTCGGTTCTCGCTAGGGGCATGTACCTTGGTTGCAGTTTGTCCCCGGCCCTGGTTGGTCGTGCGGGTGGCAGCCACTCGATGTGTCCCTTTCACATCGATGTTTCTCTCTCTCTCTCTCTTCTTCTCTCTCCCTCCCACTCTATCTGAACAAAAAATGTCCTCGGGTGAGGATAAAAAAAAAAAAAAAAAAATTAAAAAGTACACTAAATAGCTCTATTTTCCTTTTTGGTCACTGTAAGCCTCCCAAAAGGTTTTAAAACATTTTTCTTATTATAAATTCTATTATACTTGTAAAGCTATTAAAATCTCATTACTTTTTAAATTTTATTATATATCTATCCATTCTATTTTCTACACATATACTTACAGAATTGGCATTACCCCTTATACATGATTTTGTATACTACTTTAAAAAAATACTATAAATATTTATCTGCATCATTAAATTTTATTCCAAAAACACTGAAATGGCTGCATAAATTCCCTAGTAAGACGTAAAGTAATTTACTCAATCACTTTATCTGCTTTTGGACAGTTAGAATGAATCCAAATTTTTGCAATTATAGATAACATTGAAATAAATATCTTTATACATAAATCCTTGTCCAAATTTCTGATTTCTTTAAGACAGATAGAGTAAAAAAATAATTACTAGTTCAAAGGGTTAACAACTTTTTGGAGATTCTTCACAAGTGTTGCCAAGTTATTTTTTCACAAAGTCTGAGATAGTTCTATATTGCAGTGTGTAAAAGGTACCTTTGCTGAAATAAAATAGTTTAAGTTTTTACATTTGCTAAAATAATGGGTAAGTTTTATTTGTTTTGTTTTTAAACAATAAACAGGAAACTACCTACCTCATTGCCCTTCAGCATCGTGGAACCTTAAAGCCGCAGCATTCCCAAAGCCATGTCTTAATTTGTTTTATGTAGATTTTTTTCAACCAGATACACAGATAATCCTTTAACTTTTTATGCCCTCATATAATTAAACAAGAATTTTCCTTTTTTTTTTTTTTTCAGGTGTACAACATAATGATTTGATATTTGTATATATTGTGAAACGATCCCCATACTACGTCTAGTTAACATCTGTCACTGTAGTTACAGATCTGTTTTGTGATAAGAACTTTTAAAATCTACTCTTCTAGTAACTTTCAAATACACAATGTAGTATCATTAACTGTAGTCACTATGCCATACATTACATCTCCATGACTTACTTATTTTATAACCAAAAGTTTGTACCTTTTGACTACCTTCATCCATTTTGCCCTCTTTCCACCTCTGGGAACCACAACTTTGCAATCTGTTCTCTGTATTTATGAGTTTGTTGTTGTTTTTTTTGCTGTTTGTTTGTTATTTAGATTCCACATAAGTAAGATATTACATTTGTCTTTCCACTAATTCTCTTTTTTGACAATACCTATTCATTCATTACTATAAACAATGATAAAAGATTTACTTTTCTTCCCCAATCAACTCTCTATTACCTTATCACATTACTATTCTTAATGTTTTCTTTCATATTGTTAAATGTTCTTTAATCTCTGTTACATGATTTTTCAACTTTCAGTTATACCTTTTGACTTAAGTGGGAAAATGTGAAAGACAGATAGTACTAATTTTTTTTTTTTTTTATCCTCACCCGAGGACGTTTTTCTATTTTTTGTTCAGACAGAGTGGGAGGGAGAGAGAGAGAGAAAGAGAGAGAAACATCGACGTGAAAGGGACACATCGAGTGGTTGCCACCCGACGACCCAAGCAGGGCCGGGGACAAACTGTAACTGAGGTACGTGCCCTTAGCGGGGGAACCAAACCCGGGTCTCTCTGGACCGCAGGCCGACACTCTAACCGCTGAGCCAAACCGGCCAGGGCCAAATAGTTCTAATTTTTACCAAAAGTAAGTAAAATGAGCATCAGCACAGTTGGAGCAACTGGTAAGTGATTATTCAGGAGAGTAGAACATAAAGTTGGCTACCTCAAAAAATTGCATAAAAGGTATAAAAATAAAAATGTTTCCCCCCATATCTTTAGAGAATAAACTACGATGCCTTGTGGAACCAAAGGAGAGAACTAGACAAAGAAAAATGGTCAGATGTTATGTACAGATAACTTTTAACATTCCCTTTGTAAACTGATAGTTCTAATGCCTCTCCTAACTAGAACCTATCATTTCACTAATTAGGTTATAACAACAGTCAGCAAAAAAAAGAAAGAAGTAATACACACCTCTCCCTCTTCTGACATTAGAGAATTCTTCATGCTCCCCACCCTGTTTCTCACGGTGTGGCGCTCCACTGTTACTTCTGCCATCTTCTCCTCCATGCTTTACTTCACCTTTTCCTTCGATTGCTACCACCTGCATTTCTCCAATGTTGCCATTTCCAGGAGAAATTTGAACATCTTCAGGAAAACCAGAATTTTCCAAGGGCTTATTGGGATCACCACCCAAGTAATATCGAAATGGTCCATTGTTTGATGTAAAGCTATCTAAAGACTACAAATTTAAAACAACACTTAGTTAAAAGCCACAAACATAAATTGTACACCACAAAGTTTTCTTGATAATAGATTACTGTGTTTATAAAATATTTTTCATGTTATTATAAAAATATTGTATTTCTAAAATATTTCAATTCATATTCTGCCTTCAAAATGTAGGGAAGAAATGGGATAGACGTGAATCATTCATGAGCAAAGAATTGAGAAGTTATGGCAATAAATCGTTCTCAAGAGTCACTCATTCATCCAAGAAACACTTAAATGCCTACTTTTATCCTAGTTACTATGCTAAATTCTAAGGATAAATATAAAAAAGAGAGAGAGAGAGAAAGGATCTCCGTCTGCAAGAGGCGTCTAGCCTTAGCAAAGGAAAGAATATTATAACAGTTTGAGGAGGGGTGCCTAACTCATTCTGGGGTTGAGTCGGGGCTTGGTCAGGACACCTTTCCTGGGAGAAATGATATGAACTTAATCTTGAAGAACAACATAGGAAGTAGGTGGCCATGTAGAGATGGAGGCACAGATTGGAGTGATGCAGTCACAAGGAGCCCCAGGGCCCCCAGGGCTGGAGCCTTCAGAGGAGCACAGCTCTGCTGATACGTTGATTTCAGATTTCTAGCCTCCCTGTACTTCTAGAACTATGAGAGAATAAATTTTTGTTTCATGTCCAAAAAAAGCACAAAACTTGAAGAACAGATGAGTATAAGCCAATTAAAGGTATGGTAATGATGACAGCAAGTGCCAATTACGTAGTAGTGGGATAGAGGATGATTTGAGAACGTTTGGGATTACAGAATCTATAGGAGTTGAAGACTCAATATGGGGAGTAAGGGAAAGGAAAACACTAGGTGGTTTTGTACTATTTACCAAAATAAATATAGAGGATTAGAAGGTTTCAGGGGCAAGATGTCTAATAGGGCAGTTAGAATTCAGAAGAGATATAGGCTGGAGATACCACTTTAAGTCATTAGCACGTAAGTGATGGTTGAAACAAAGGTAGTAATAATTTGGGATATATGCCTGAAGAACATCATATTTAAGGGGTCAATAAGAGGAAGAAAAACTCACAGAGGAAGGTACAAAGGGCCCAAGAAGCATAAAAAGAAACTCTTAAAAAGTGGTATAATGAAAGCCAAGGAAATATTTTTCAAGGACAAAGTAGTTAATATTGTTTGATTATATTCAAGTAAGATGGGAAATGTAAAGCATCCATTCAAATTAGCAACAAAGGCATGTTGGCATATATCTGGCAGTGAATCAATACCATGAATGAACATGACCAACAGAAAGCCTGCCTATAAAGGGAAGGAGGGAGCCCTGGCCAGTTTGACTCAGCGGTTAGAGCTTCAGCCTGGGGACCAGAGAGTCCCAGGTTCAGTTCCCGCTAAAGGCACATACCTCAGTTGCAGTTTGTCCCCAGCCTGGTTGGGGTCATGTGGGTGTCAACCACTCGCTGTGTCTCTCTCACATCAATGTTTCTCTTTCTCTCTTCCTCCCTCTCTATCTTAAGATAAATGCAAAAGTGTCCCCAGGTGAGGATAAAAATAAACAAAGGAAAGGAGGGAGATAAGTCAATACTTAGAGAGCATCATAAGGTTGAGAGAGTATTTTCTTTCAAAGATGGAAGGGATATGAATAGCTTGAGAAAAAAGAACCAGAAGAGGGACAGTCTGGCAGGTATAAAAAATGAAGGTCCCCAAAGAGGTGGGAGAAAATATGACACACATTAGAGAAAATGGCCTTAGGTGGGAAGGTCTTCCACTGAGGTAGGAAGAAAGGTGGCAAAGACTGAATGAGTATAGATTATAGTCAGTACGTCAAAGACGTAAGTGTCCAGGCATGAAGTTGAAGGAGTAACAACCTAATGGCTTCTACCGTCTCAGTGAGGCAGAACACAAAATTATTTGATGAAAGCAAGGAAAAGGTGAAACAGGACCAATGAGTATCAGTCCCCTACCCACATCTCTCATTCTGGTAGAACTCTAGCTTCTTATGCTTTAGGTGCTACTCAAAGTGTGGTCTGCAGACCAGCAACATCAGCATCAACTGAAAGCTGGTTAAAAATGTAAAACCATGAGTCCCACCCAGACCTACTAAATGAGCAACTCTGGGGTTCAGGCCCAAGAACCTGTGCCATAACGAGCTCCCCATTAAAATTTGAGAAGTGCTGCTTAATAGAATAGGAGAATGTATAAAACAAAGGGGAAACAAAAAAACCTAAAATGTTTCTCTCTCATTCTTATCTTAGAAATCTAACTCACCTGACAAAATTCCAAATGTACTGGTATGCATTGGTATTGTGGTTGAAATCATATCAGAAATATCTCTATATCTATATCTATGTATCTATATAAAGATATAAAACATTTCATATCTTCAAGTCTCTATTTCAGTTTCCAAACCAGTACTTCCAAACCATTATCTATTCCATTAAATTGTTATTATAGAACATGGTTTGTTTTCAGCTTCTGCAAAGCAGTAACAGCTAATAATCTGATCTTTAAAAATCTCAGCTTTTAAGAAAGGGATCTATCTATAAGTTATTCAACTTATTTAAACAAGACTGAAAATAAAAACTGACTTTCTTTTCAACAACATTTTTTTAGTGAGATGAGGCCCTTGCAAACATGAGGTTGTCTATCACTTCAGAAATTTAGTAAAATCAATGGAATACAGTGCTTTCAAAATACGAACACTTTGGAAAGAACAGAAACCAAGAAAATGTTATATACAACAAAGTAAAACCATTACTGTATTAAAAAACCACTACAGCAATACTGAAAATAAAATTTCAATATTACATTTATTTAAAATAATAAATTATTACAGATTATCTGTTATAGATAAAGAAGCTAAAAGTAATATTATTTAAGATTAACAATAGGTCAGGTAACAAAACAAGATTTTAATTATACTAGCAGATTGGCTAATACTAAAATGGATAAGAAACAGATGAAGTTTGGGGACAAATAAATAATGACTCTTTAGAGCACATTATTCTAGAAGTCATAAGAAAGTACAGCAAAAGGAACTCATTATGAAGTGATAGTTGAGCTACAGAATAATAATAATGATGGTGCAATTGTATGCAGAACATAATTCAATGTTCTCGTGTTAGAAGGAAAAAAGAAAACAATTACAGAGGCAATGTAAGTTAAAAAACCATTACAGAGGCAACATTAGAAAGAAGTATTCCACACACAACTATAATGCTCATTTTTAAACTTTTTATTATGGAAAATTTCAAACATACTAGATTAGAGTACCAATCACTCTTTTTCAACAATTATCACTTCAGGGCCATTCTTCTTTCATTTTACCTGTGACTCCCATGGCCATCCCCAGTGAATTATTCTGAAACAAATCCTAAACATCATATTATCAAGCTAACACTTTGCTGCAACAAGATAAATATATTTTTAAAAATTTAATATAATTTACTCTGTATGTATGTGTTTTGGAGGTAGGAACATGCTTAACTGCTACATTCAAGAGGCAATTATAAATTTTTTTTTTATCCTCATCTGAGGATATTTTTCCTTTCATTATCAGATAGAGTGGGAGGGGGGGGGGAGAGAGAGAGAGAGAGAGAGAGAGAGAGAGAGAGAGAGAGAGAGAGAGGGAGAGAGGGAGAGAGAGAAAAGAAACATCGACATGAGCCCTGGCCAGTTTGGCTCAGTGGTTAGAGCGTCGGCCTGCAGTTCAGAGAGACCCGGGTTCGGTTCCCGCTAAGGGCGCGTACCTTGGTTGCAGTTTGTCACCGGCCCTGGTTGGGTTGTGTGGGTGGCAGCCACTCGATGTGTCCCTTTCACGTCGATGTTTCTCTCTCTCTCTTCCTCTCTCTCCCTCACACTCTATCTGAACAAAAAAAATGGAAAAATGTCCTCAGGTGAGGATTAAAAAAAAAAAAAAAAAGAAACATCGACGTGAGAGGAACACATCGCTTGGTTGCCTTCCACACAATCCTGACCAGGACCAGGCCAGGGCAGGGCCAGGGACCTTGGTTGTGGTGGGTCCCTGGCCCTGGCCTGGTCCTGGTCAGGATTGTGTGGAAGGCAACCAAGCGAACCGAGGTATGCGCCCTTGACCGCTATCAAACCTGCAACTCACTGGTCCGTGGGCCGACGCTCTAACCGCTGAGCAAAACTGGCCAGGGCAGCAAAATATATATTTTTTAAAAATACTTTTATAAGTGGAAAATAACAAGAAAATGTTCAAATTATAGTAGGCAAACAATAAATGTGATATTAGTTGTCCACAAAAAGAACTTAGAAAAACACCTTGATTCTTTTTTAAATTTATTTATTTATTTATTTATTTTTTTTGGTATGTGCCCTTAGCGGGAACCGAACCCGGGACTCTCTGGTCCACAGGCCGACGCTCTAACCGCTGAGCCAAACCAGCCAGGGCAACACCTTGATTCTTAAGGACTCCAAAATTAACCATGGAGATTAAATATATGTTTTAAAGACCCCACCAAGGAAATTTGTGGGTGACAACCTATAATTAACCTAAACTTAGGAAAGATGGGTAATGTGGTGGGGCTGTGTCTTATCTAAGAAGGTTTCCTTCAAGAAAGGACATCTGCATTAGGGTTTAAAGGATGTGCAGGAGTTAACTTGGTATACGGGGCAGTGAATGTCAAATTACATTCCATCCAAATGAATGCAAAGACGCTGGTTCTGGAGGAGAGAAGGGGAAAGGACTTGACATAGAGGGACAGAGAGAAGGCCAGGATGGGTATGAGCAAAGCCCAATCATGAGAGTGGCGTGACCAGAGGCCAAAACGGTAAGTAGGAGCCAGATCAGGAAGGGTCCCATAAAGGATTTTAGTCTATCAACCAATGCATAGGGAAAATAGGAGCAATCCTATAGCCGGACAATCTAGTAGCCAGACATTTACTTAGATTAATCTCATCCAGTCCTTTATCACCAGACTTCACCAGTCAAACCTTTTTAAAAAGACAAAAAATAGCCCAGCCAGAGTGGGTCAATTGGTTGAGGGTCTTCCTGTGCACCAAAATGTTGCCCGTAAGGCCTTGGTCGGTTTGGCTCATGGGTTATAAAGTGTCGGCCCTCGGACTGAAGGGTCTTGGGTTCGATTCCCAGTCAAGGGCACATACCTCCATTGCAGATTTGATCTCCAACCCCAGGTTAGGGTCATGCAGGAGGTATGTGTCTCTCTCACGTCGAAGTTTTTCTTTCTCTCTCTCCCTCCCTTTCACTCTACTTTAAAAAAAAATCAATGAAGAAATATCCTCAGATGAGGATTAACCAAAAAATTTTAAAAAGGTTGCCTGTTTGAAATCCCAGTCAGGGCACATACCTGGGTTGAGGGTTCAATCTCCAGTCAGGGCATATATGGAAGGTAACTGATCAGTGTTTCTCATATCAATCTCTCTCTCTCTCCCCTACCCACTCCCCATCCCTTCCTCTCTCTACATATGTCCTTGGATAAGAATTTAAAATAAATAAATAAATAAATAAATAGAAATATACATTTTTATCACTTTTCATTTTTCACTAATTTTAGCTCATTCTAAATTTGGACTTCTTACCATTACTCTATGCTACTCATTTATGTTTGACTTTAGTTAAAAAGTATTTTGTGCCCGGCTGGTGTGGCTCACTGGTTGAGTATCAAGAGGTCGCTGGCCCTGGCTGGTTTGGCTCAGCGGATAGAGCGTCAGCCTGCGGTTCAGAGAGACCCGGGTTCGGTTGCCACTAAGGGCACGTAACTCAGTTGCAGTTTGTACCCAGCCCTGGTTGGGTTGTGCGGGAGGCAGCCACTAGATGTGTCCCTTTCCATCGATGTTTCTCTCTCTCCCTCCTACTCTATCTGAACAAAAAATAAAAATGTCCTCGGGTGAGGATAAAAAAAAAAAAAAGAGCCCTGGCCGGTTTGGCTCAGCGGTTAGAGCGTCGGCCTGCGGTCCGGAGAGACCCGGGTTCGGTTCCCGCTAAGGGCACGTACTTCGGTTGCAGTTTGTCCCCGGCCCTGGTTGGTCGTGCGGGTGGCAGCCACTCGATGTGTCCCTTCACGTCGATGTTTCTCTCTCTCTCTCCCTCCCACTCTATAAAAAAAAAAAAAAAAGAGATCGCTGGTTCGATTGCCAGTCAGGGCACATGCCTAGGTTGTGGGACCGATCCCCAGTGGGGGGCATGCAGGAGGCAGCCAATTGATGTTCTTGCTCATCAATGTTTCTCTCTCCATTTCCTTTCCTTTCCTCTCTCTCTAAAATCAATAAAAAAAAATTTTTTTTAAGTATTTAGCAGCCCTGGCTGGAATGGTCCATTGGTTAGAGCCTTGGCCCAAGCACCAAAGAGTCACAGGTTTGATTCCCGAACAAGGGCATGTACCTGGGTTGCAAGTTCAGTCCTCAGCCTTAGTCTGGGCACGTGTCCACATGGGGATAAACCAATCGATGTGTCTCTCACATCAATGTTTCTCTCTTTCTCTCTCTCCCGCCCCCTCTACACTCTCTAAAAATCAATGGAAAAAATTGGGGTGAGGATTAACAACAACAAAAAAAGTATTTTGTTCATGTGTTTTTTAAATTTGAGAAAACTAAGTCTGGCTGGAGTGGCTCAGTTGGTTGGGTGTTTGTTGTCCCATACACCAAAAAGGTTGCTGGTTTGATTCCCCATCAGGGTACATACCCAAGTTTTGGATTTAATCCTTGGTTGTGTGTGCACAAGAGGCAACCGATCGATGTTTCCTTCTATCTCTCTCTCTCTCTCTCCCCCCCTCTCCTTTCCTCTCTCTCTAAAAAATCAATAAAAATACATTTTTTTTTTAAATTTTGAGAAAGCTAAGAGAAACTTAGTTGCATTATAACATTTTTTAAAAGGGGAAACACAAAGAGAAAACGTTAAAATCACTACTCAGGGAGGCAAAAGATAAATAATTTTCTATAAGACACACTAAACTGTGTTAGAACAACGGTAAGGAAACAGTGGAGTTAGGATTCAAAACCACCAAACATAAATATAGCTGTCAAAACCACCTAATCATTATCAGAAAACATCATCAAAGAGAAAAAATATTTCATGTAGTTTTTGCCCTGGCTTGGGAGCTCAGCTGGTTGGAACATCATACCAACACGCCAAGACTGTGGGTTCGATCCATAGTTAGAGCACATACAAGAATCAAACCATTACTGCATAAATAAGTGGAACAACAGCCCTGGCCGGTTTGGCTCAGCGGTTAGAGCGTCTGCCTGCGGTCCGGAGAGACCCGGGTTCGGTTCCCCCTAAGGGCATGTACCTCAGTTGCAGTTTGTCCCCGGCCCTGGTTGGTCGTGCGGGTGGCGGCCACTCGATGTGTCCCTTTCACATCGATGTTTCCCTCTCTCTCTCTTCCTCTCTCTCCCTCCTACTCTATCTGTACAAAAAATGGAAAAATGTCCTCGGATGAGGATTAAAAAATAAAAAAATAAAAAATAAAAAAAATAAGTGGAACAACAAATTAATGTTTCTCTCTCTCAAATCAATTAAAAAAAATTTTATTCATGTAGTTTTAATAATTTTTGTCAAATGTTAGCTTCCAATACTGAATTAAAAAATTCTTTTTTGTTAATTCTCACCCAAGGACATTTTTCCATTGACCTTTAGATAAAATAGAAGGGAAGGGGAGAAGGAGGGAGGGAGGGAGGAAGGGAGGGAGGGAGGGAGGGAGGGAGGGAAACATGGATTGGTTGCCTCCCACCCGACCCAGACTGGGGCCAGGGACCAAACCAGCAACCCTGGTACGTGCCCCTGACCGGGAATCGAAAATGCAACCATCCACAGGCAGATGCTCTAACCACTGAACAAAACCAGCCAGGGTGCAATACTGAATCTTAAATAAACTAAAATTCGAAAACTATTTCAACTCAAACTTTCAGTTCAACATGTTAAAGTCCATGTGAAAAACAGATTTGTTTGAACATTATTTAATTTCCAAAAATGTTAATGTCTCAAATATAGGGACTAGCATAAGGAGTTTACTATCTGCCTCCCATCACAGAACCTCTCTCAGAATATTTACAAATATTTATAAATATTATAAATTATAATAGTTAAAATTTTTTTGAATATTTTGGAATTTAACAAACTTTCTAATTCACAAAAACATAATTTAAAATACAAATATTTCAAAATTTTAAAGGTATGTTTTCAAAGTGATTAGCAGCAAGTACATCTGGTATTAACAGAAATTATGCATCAAATTCTGATAGACCACTTTGAAAACTTACAATTAAAAAATGTCATTTTTACCTCTTCCTGTCCAAGTTGCTCCATGGAATCACAGTAAACTTCACTGTCTGAATCACTTGTCAAATGCTGAATTCCTGAAACATCTTCAATATGATCATCATTTATATCTAAATATGAATAAATGCCCAGGTAGAATAATTATTCTAATTGAAGAAAAAATGTATTTACTCTGTTTTCAAAATTTATTAGCTTTATGTTATAGTCATACTATAAGACAAATTTGATTTCACAAGCCACATTATTATTTCTTTTAACTTACCAACACTTTAAATTTTGTTGATAATTTTTATTTGAAAAGATGGCAAGTATTTTATCATGGAATTATACAAAGACACAGTACAGATCAAAACCTAGAGAACTCAATGACCTTGTAAGAGAAAACTGAATCATCAGCTAGGAAGCCTAAATTTGGATGCAATCATTGTAAGTTTGGTTGAAACATTTAGAAATTATACTTGGTTTCTTGGCTGAATTGCAATAATGTTAAGAATTCACCATATACATATTATAGGCTCTCTCCTAGAGCTCAAAATATTAAAACAGTATAACTTCCTTTGTTGACTGGAGAATAACAATATCATATAATCAGAGATTTAAGTTAAAAGAAACATCAGAAATAAAAGTAAAAATTTCAAAATTTGCCCTGGCTGGTGTGGATCACTTGGTTGGAGTGTTGTCCCATACACCAAAAGGCTGTGGGTTCGATTCCTGGTCAGGGCACATACCCAGGCTGTGGGTTCAATCCCCAGTTGGGGACCATAGGAGAGGCAACCATTCAATGTTTCTCTCTCACATTGATGTTCCTCCCTCTTTCTCACTCTCCCCCTCAAATCAAATTTTTAAACAAAATTTTATTTTTAAATACCATATAAAAACAATTTTTAGCCTGGCCAGTGTGGCTCAGGGGATTGAGCATCATCCCATGGACTGAGAGTTTTCAGCTCAATTCCCTGTCAGGGCACATACCCCGGTTGAGGCTCAGTCCCCAGTAGGGGGCATGCAGGAGGCAGCTGATCAATGTTTCTCTCTCACACCTATGTTTCTACCTCTCCCTTCCTCTCTCTCTAAAATATCAATACAAACAATTTTTTTTAAAACCGATTTTTAAATTTCAATGAAAACATAAAAACCCTGGCCCTAATTCACTGTCTTTCAAGGATATAAACCTTTATAATATAAAAAGACCCTTAGATACTAATGAATAAGAGATTTTAAATTCTAAATTGCTCCTAATATCCTGAAATTATTAAAATATCTTATTCATAGGAAAGAGGCTTGACAAATAATTATTATGGGAGAATACCTTGGTGAACGCAGACAGCAGTTTTTCCAGTTTGCTCCAAGTTTTGATCTACAGGTTTTACTTCTTCAGTGCTTCTGTCACTCAGGGAAGAAGTGGCATGGATATCATTCTGTACATCCTTAACAAAGCTGTCTGTATCATAGCCATTAGTGACAGTGATTTCCAAATTTTTATGTTCTGTGGACTTCTTCATCGTTTTTTTATCTTTTGTGTTAAAACAGAGAGATTCATAAAAGTTCACATTAGGTCAACTGCATACTATGTTCTGATATTAAGCAGTCATTTCTTCAACCACCATAATCCCTTTGAAGGGTTTCCTACTTGGAGCAGAGAGGGGGGTGCTCCTAGAAAAGGGGTGTTTTATATGCTGAGAATTCACATAAACTGTGTTGGTTTCAAAACTGCTTCAGTTCCCTGTGAATTTTCTAGAACCTCCTTTAAGAGATAATCTCTCAAACTCTTCACACTCTCTCAGCATAGGCAAATTGTTCTATGACAGCCAACAGTACAGAGGGGTATATATAGCCAATAAAAAGATGCTTCAGCTCGGCTGGTGTGACTCAGTAGATTGAGCCATCACCTTGAGAGGAGCTGGTTCATTCCCAGTCAGGACATATGCCCGGGTTTCAGGCTCAGTCCCCAGTTTGGGGCATGCAGGAGGCAGCCGATCGATATTTCTCTCTCATGTCAATGTTTCTCTCTCTCTCTCTCTGCAAAAAATTAATAAAAACATATTTTTAAAAAAAGACCTTTCAAAGAGGGTATTATTTATCATACCTTAATATAACAAGGCAAAATTAAGTTGTACAGTTTTGTTTTGTTTTTATCCTCACCCGAGGACATTTTTTGTTCAGATAGAGTGGGAAGGAGAGAGAGGAAGAGAGAGAGAGAAACATCGACGTGAAAGGAATACATTGAGTGGCTGCCACCCGCACGACCAACCAGGGCCGGGGACAAACTGCAACCGAGGTACGTGCTCTTAGCGGAAACCGAACCCGGGTCTCTCTGGACCGCAGGCCAATGCTCTAACTGCTGAGCCAAACCAGCCAGGGCTGTACAGTTTGTTTTAATGTATTTCTGCCTCCCCTTTCTAAAACAGTCTTTGCAAGAATCACTGGTACTCTTACTAAAAAGGACTCCCTAATTCAGGGCCCTATAATTCCAATGTTCCCTCTTTCGTCAAAACTTCTGCCGGCTTTGGCTGGTGTGGCTCAGTTGGTTGGAGAGTCGTTTTATGCACCAAAAGGTTGGCTGGTTTGGCTTGGTTGCCGTTTGTCCCCGGCCCTGGTTGGGTCGTGTGGGAGACAGCCACTAGATGTGTCCCTTTCACGTTGATGTTTCTCTCTCTCTCTCTCTCTCGCTCTCGCTCTCTTCCTCTCTCTCCCTCCCACTCTCTTGAACAAAAAAATGGAAAAATGTCCTCAGGTGAGGATTAAAAAAAAAAAGGTTGCCAGTTCGATTCCCAGTCAGGGCATATACCTGGGTTGAGGGATCCATCCCCAGTGGGGGTGTGTACAGGAGGCAACCAATTGATGTTTCTCTCATACAACAATGTTCTCTCTCTTCCCGATTCGTCTCTCTAAAAAAAAAAAAAAACAGAAAAAACATATCCTTGGGTTAAAAACAAAAAACCTCTGCCCATATCCTATTCTCTGGATTCTATTCTATTCATGATAAGATATTCAGTTTGATTGTCTCCTCTCCTTGGTAACATATGTATATTCATATTGGAAACAATACATTAAATAAATATATTTCTTTTTTTTTTTTATCCTCACCCGAGGATATTTTCCCATTTTTTGTGCAGAGAATGGGAGGAAGAGAGAGGAAGGGAGAGAGAGAGAAACATCGACGTGAAGGGACACATCGAGTGGCTGCCACCCGCACGACCAACCAGGGCCGGGGACAAACTGCAACCGAAGTACGTGCCCTTAGCGGGAACCGAACCCGGGTCTCTCCGGACTGCAGGCCGATGCTCTAACCGCTGAGCCAAACTGGCCAGGGCTAAATAAATATATTTCTAACGCAGCATTTCAGGCATTACATTTGGAAAAGTGGCCTATTCTTGTTAGCCTTCAATGGACATCTATTCCATCTCTGCATAAGGCTGGCTGTCTCTAACTCTGTAGCCCTTTTGGTCCACAACAAACCTGGTTATAGGATCAATAGCCCAAATCCCTTCACTCCCATACAATATGCCCAACACTCTCCATAACCTTTTATCTTACTTAATGTAAAATTCTCATCCCATCATCCAAAGATTACCATTATCACTTTGTTCTGCTCCTTTCACTTCTTGGGCCTCTTCTTCCTCAGACTCAGCTCCACTATCACTGCTTTCAGCTTTACCATTGACAGTTTTGGCATTTGGAGGAGAAGTCAGAACATTACCAAGATCTAAAATATAAAAATGACCATTTAATCTCTATGATATAACATACAATAATGCTGTGGTGTACAAATAATAAAAGAATTCTGAAGTAAATAGATTCTGATATATAATTATAGTATTCTTTTCTTTGGCTATAAATATTACATGTATTACATCAATAAATTCCTTCGATTATCAGTTTATAATAAAATGATAATGCAATATTAAAACCTTTTGGCCAGTTTGCTCAGCAGTTAGAGCATCAGCCCGCAGACCAAAGAGTCATAGGTTCGATTTCGGTCAAGGGCACATACCTCAGTTGTGGTTCGGTCCCCGGCCCTGGTCCGGGTCATGTGGGAGGCAACCAATCGATGTGTCTCTAGCACATTGATGTTTCTCTCGCTCTCTCCCTCCCACTCTCACTTAAAATCAATGAAAAAATATCCTTGGGTAAGGACTAACAAAAAAAAAGTTCTATTGCCCAAAGTCATAACTTGAGAGTAAAAAGAGCTTCTCAAACATTCACATGCATAGTAATCAACTGATATCTAGTTAAAATCCATATTCTGAATCAGTAAGTGTGGAGAGATCTAAGATTCTGCATTTCCATGAACCTCTCATGTGATAACCAATTCTGTTGGTTACTGAACCTCATTTTGATATACAAGGAATTACATTTCCATCAACTCTTTAAGATATTAAAGACCTCTTGCCTGGCCGGTGTGGCTCAGTGGTTAAGCATAGACCCATGCACCTAGAGGTCACTGGCTCAATTCCCGGTCAGGGCACATGTCCAGGTTGTGGGCCCAGTCCCCAGTGGGGGTCATGCAGGAGGCAGCCAATCGTTGTTCTCTCTCATAGATATTTTTTTTTGGTACCGAACCCAGGACTCTCTGGTCCGCAGGCCAATGCTTCAACTGCTGAGCCAAACTGGCCAGGGCTCTCTCATCGACATCTCTGTCTCTGGTTCCCTATCCCTTCCTCTCTCTCTAAAAATCAATAAAGAAAAAAAAATTTTTTTAAAGATGTTAAAGACCTAAGTGGCTACTGGCCAAAAACAGTGGTCTTCCTCCATAAACTCTGGGTTTTATTTTCACTTATACAAATGCACTTTTTTTTTTTTTTGCTTTATTTATTTTTTAATACTTATTTATTTTATTTATTTATTAATTTGTTTTTGTACAGATGTTTCTAATTTTCCCCCCATTGACACCCTCCTCCCCTTACCCCCACCCCATCCCCAGCTTTGCTGTCTATATTCATTGGTCATGAATTATAAATGCACTTTGCATGTTTCCCTGTATCACAAATAACGTCAAATTTCCAAGTCTCCATACATCTTAAACAGTCAGACCTATATTCTTTGTTTTTAATTAAATTTATTGGAGAGACATCAGTTAATAAAATTATACAGGTTACCCACCTGCTTTCAAGGTGGATAATAAAAAAAGAAAATTATAGTCCAGGCTCTGGCCAGTTTGGCTCAGCAGTAGAGTGTCCGGCTGTGGACTGATGGGTCTCAGGTTCAATTCCGGTCAAGGGCTCATACCTCGGTTGTGGTTCATCCCCGGCCCTGGTCGGGGTTGTGTGGGAGGCAACCAGTCATGTGTCCCTCTCACATTGATGTTTCTTTCTCTCTCTCTCTCTCCTTCCCACTCTATCTGAAGATAAACAGAAAAATATCCTCAGGTGAGGATTTTAAAAAAAATTTATAGCCCAGCCAGTGTGGCTCAGGGGTTGAGCATTGTCCCATGGACTGAAAGGTTGTGGTTCTATTCCTGGTCAAGGCACATGCTCAGGTTGGGGGTTCAATTTCCAGGGGGGTAGGGGGGATGTGCAGGAGGCAGCCAATAGATGTTTCTCTCTATAAAAAAAATCAATAAAAACCTATTTTAAAATAAATTATATAGGTTTCAGGTGTACAATTCAATAATACATCATCAGTATATTGTATTGTGTATTTACCAACCAAAGTCAAGTCTCTTTCCTTCCATCACCATTTATTCCCTCCTTTACCCTCTTCTACCTCCCCCAACCCCCTTTCCCTCTGATAATCACCACTACCAGATATCACCATGTTGTCTGTGTCTATGAGATTTTTATTTTTTTTGCTTAATCCCATCACTTTTTTTTTTTTTTAGTGGGAAGGAGGGAGGGAGGGAGGGGGAGAGGGAGAGAAACATCAGCCAGCTGCCTCCCACATGACCATGACCAGGGCCAAGAACCTGCAACCCAGGTAAGTTCCCTTGACCCAGGAATCAAACCCGAGTCCCTTCAATGCTCTAACCTCTGAGCCAAACCAGCCAGGGCAAACCTGTCACCTTCTTTACCCAGCCTCCCAACGTCTCTACCCTCTAACAGCTGACAGCCTGCTGTTATCTATGAGTCTGTTCCTATTTTTTTGTTTATTTTGTTCATTAGCTTCCACATGTAAATGAAATCATATCATATTTGTCTTTCTCTAACTGACTTATTTCACTTATCATAACACTCTCCAGGTCCATCCATGCTGTCACAATAAGTAAAATAACTTTTTTACAGCCGAGCAGTATTCCATTGTGTCAATGTACCACAGCATTTTTATCCATTCTTCTACTGATCAGCACTTGGGCTGCTTATGCTGCAATGAACATAGGGGTGCATATATTCTTCTGAATCAGTGTTTTGGATTTCTTCAGATATATTCCCAGAAGTGGAATTACCGCATCCAGGCCTATACTCTTATTTAAGTCTACCTAATTAATGGGACAAAAAACTAAAAATTCAACTCTATCATAGGCATTGTGTTCTATTCTCTCTTAGAGAATCATGGGAGCAGCATAGTTGTTGAATATCCCTTATTATACTGAAAACCAGAAAAAGCAAGAACAACAACAATTAACAACAGCAAAACAAACAAACAAACAAACAAAAAAAACCCGGCCTAGCTGGGTAGCTCAGTTGGTTAGAGCATTGTAACAATATTGCAAGGTTGCAGATTTGATCCCCAATCAGGGCACATGCAAGAATAGACCAATGAATGCATATTTAAGTGAAACAGCAAATCAATGTTTTCCTTTCTCCCTTCCTCTCTCTAAAACACAATAAAAACTTTAAAAACCACCTACCATAATAGACAATAAAACTAAATCCCTATAAAATGAATGGCTGTCAAAAACTACTTGAATCGCTTCTCGGCCTTTTGGCTAAGATCAAGTGTAGTATCTGTTCTTATCAGTTTAATATCTAAAAATAAAATAAAATAAACTACTTGACAGTAGCAAAAACAGCATCACAACCGTCATGTAATGAGAGTTGTAGAAAGCAAAGAGTTACCAATGAGCCTTACTCCACACCCAAATATCAATTAATGTAACATACCATATTAACAGGCTGAAGGACAAAAGACACATGATTATGACAACAGATGCAAAAAAAAGCATTTGACAAAATCCAACACTCTTTCGTGATAATAATGCTGAAAAAATTAAGAATAGAAGATAATTTCCTCAATCTGACAAAAGGCATCTATGAAAATCAAAAATAACATCCATACTTAATGTAAAAAGACTGAACTTTGTACTCCCCAAATAAGAAACAAGATAAAAACGACTGCTTTTGCCATCTCTATTAATATTGTATTAGAAGTGCTAGCCAGGGCAGTTAAGCAAGAAAAAAAGCATCCCAGTTAGAAAGAGGTAAAATAATCTCTTTTTGCAGATGACATGCTCTTCTATATAGAAAATCCTAAGAAATCTACAAAAAAATATTAGAACTAATAAACAGTTTGGTGACTTGCAGGATACAAGGTCAATATAAAAATCAACAGTAGCCCAGTCAGTGTGGCTCAGTGGATTGTGCGTTGTCCCATGGACTGAGAGGTCCTGGTTCAATTCCCACTCAGAGAACATGCCCAGGTTGGAGGCTCAATACCCAGATGGGGGTGTGCAGGAGGCAGCTGATCAATGTTTCTGTCTCACATCGATGTTTCTATCTCTCTCCATAAACAATCAATAAAAACATTTTTTAAAAAATCAACTGTATTTCTATAATCTAACAATAAACTATCAAAAAATAAAATTAGAAAACAATTCAACCCTGGTCTGTTTGGCTCAGTGGTTAAGAGTATTGATTCTCAAACCAAAAGATCATGGGTTGAATTCCAGTCAAGGACACATTCCTGGGTTGCAGGTTTGATCCCGGGTCCTGGCTGGGGTTGTGCGGGAGACCAATTGATGTCTCTCTCTCACATGGATATTTCTCTCTCTGTCTCTCTCTCCCTCCTTCCCTTCCACTTTCTCTAAAAAAAAATGAATGGAGACCGGCTGGTGTGGCTCACTGGATTGAGCGTCGTCCCACAGACTGAGAGGTCCCAGCTTGATTCCCAGTCAGGGCACATGCCCAGGATGCAGGCTCCATCCTTAGTAGAGGGCATGTAGGAGGCAACTGATTGATGTTTCTCTCTCACATCGATCTTTCTATCACTCTCTCCCTTTCTCTCTCTAAAAAAATCAACAAAAAGATTTTTTTTAAAAAATCAATTGAAAAATATCCTTGGGTGAGGATGCAAAAAGCACCCAATCAGAATAGCAATAAGAAAAAAAAATCCAAAAATATGAAGATAGTGTAAGGAACCTCTGGGACAACTTCAAGTGTACCAAACATTCGCATCATGGGAGTGCTGGAAGAAGAAGATAGGGAGCAAGAAATTGAAAACCTATTTGAAAAAACAATGACAGAAAACTTCCCTTACCTGGTGAAACAAAAAGACATGCAAGTTCAGGATGTGCAGTGAGTCCCAAACAAGATGAATCCAAAGAGGCCCACAAGAAGATACATCATGATTAAAATGCAAAAGATTAAAGACAAAGAGAAAATCTTAAAAGCAGCAAGAGAAAAGCAGTTAGTTACCTACAAGAGAACACCCATAAGACTACCAGCTGATTTCTCAACAGAAGCTTTGCAGGCTAGAAGGGAGTGGCAAGAAATATTCTAAGTGATGAAAAGCAAGGACCTACAACCAAGATTATTCTACCCAACAAAGCTATAATTTAGAATTGAAGGTCAGATAAAAACCTTCCCAGTTAAGAAAAAGCTAAAGGAGTTTATCACCACCAAACCAGTATTACATCTATGTTAAAGGGTCTTTAAAAATAATGGAAAAAAAAAGAGATCTAAAATATGAACAATAAAATGGCAATAAATACATATCTATCAACAACTGAGTCTAAATATCAAAATAAACACACAAGCAGAACAGAAACAAGACTCATAGATACAGAGAACATTTTCAACAGTTGCCAGATGGGAGGGGTGTTAGAGAAATGGATGAAAAAGGTGAAGGGATTAGAAGTACAAATTAGTAGTTACAGTGTAGTCATGGAGGTATAAAGTACAGAATAGAGAATATAGTCAGTAACATTCTAATAACTATGTATGATGTCAGACTGGTATGAGATTTTTCGGGATGATCACTTAATGAATTTTATAACGTCCAATCACTAGGGTGCACACCTGATACTAATATAATATTGTATGTCAACTGTATTGGAAAAATAAAAAATTATTAAAAAAACAACAACTTTGGTTTATCATTTTTCATTTTGAAAGTCTAGCTAAGAAACTGTGGAAATGAACCTTTATTGCTATTATTACTATTATTCACTCTCCTTGTTTTTAGAATTAGTTGTTTAAACATCTGCCTCTGACAGTAAGCTGGACATTACTAAAGCAGGTGCAGATTTATGCCTATCTGTATCCTAAAAACATGCTTCATACAGAGAAAACACTTAATATTCTTTTTGAATTGAATAAGCATGAGTAAGGAAGATTATTTGATATTTGACTCCTTTAGGTAAATCAGACTCCGGTCAAAGGCATGAACCTCAGTTGCAGGTTGGTCCCCGGCCCTCATCAAGATCGTTCAGGAGGCAGCCAGTGTATGTGTCTCTTTCACATCGATGATTTTATTTCTCTCTCTCTCTCCTTCCCTCCCTCCCTCCCTCACACTCCGTCTGAAGAAAAATGTAAAAATGTCTTCGGGTGAGGATTTAAAAAAATAAAATTAGCTAAAAAATTGCCCTGGCAGGTTTGGCTCAGCGGTTACAGCATCAGCCTGAGGACTAAAGAGTCTCAGGTTCAATTCTGGTCAAGGGCACAAACCTCGGTTGCAGTTTGGCCCCCAGCCCTGGTCGGGGTTATGCGAAAGGCAACCAGTCGATATGTCTCTCACATCAATGTTTCTTCTTTCTCTCTCTCCCTCCCTCCCACTCTATCAGAAGATAAATAGAAAAAAAACAATCCTCGGGTGAGGATTTAAATATAAATAAAATTAGCTAAAATATTTCATCCATAGTATTACTAATAAAATTTATAAAGCAAAATAGAAAATATAATCCATCAAAACAAAACTATGAATTCTGTCACAATTTTATACATACTAAGTGAACCACCTATCGTTTCAATAACTTAAAAATTTAAATTTGCCTGGCTGGTTTGGCAGCAGTTAGAGAGTGTTCTCCTGCAGACCACAGGGTCTCGGTTCGATTCCCGGTCAAGGGCACATACCTGAATTGCAGGTTTCATCCCTGGCCCCGGTCAAAATCGTGCAGGAGGCAACTAATCATCAATCAATGTCTCTTGTACACTGATGTTTCTCTCTCTCTTGCCCTCCCTCCCACTCTATCTAAAAAAAAAAAAAAAAAAAATCAATGGAAAAATATCCTCGGGTGAGAATTAACGACGAAACAAAAAGTTAAAACTTAAGGGTTTATGATATTTTAAAACTTTATGCAATGTATTTGCTTGGATTGAAAACTCTTTTGAGTGATAAGCTTGTAAGTTATATAAATTTGTGCAGAATTCTTTGGAATATAAATTTTAAATTTTAACCAAAATTTTACATGGATTTCATTATTCCTACCTTCTAAGTATTTAGAGATTTTCTCCAGTCGGACTGGCATGTGAGAGTAAAAAAAAGAATTAGACACATGAATATCAATGTATGCATAATGTATCAGTTGCCAAGTTTAAAATGAGGTAAAATAGTCCAACCTGAAGTTAAATCAGAACTTTTGCCACTCTTTTTGTCCTCTACAATTTCATAAAATGGACCTATGACATGTAGCAATTCTTCAACGCTCTCAGTCATTGGCATTGTTTCAAGAATCTGTAATCAAAAGAAACAAATCTTGTGAAATCACAAACTATTACACTAATCTAAATTACTACCAAATAATTTTGAGAGGTAAGGTTCATTTATAGACTCCTAAGGTATCTATATTAATTACATACTTAATGTATATAATCGCCTAGAAAAGTTTCAAGTATATCAAAGACTTAAAAATGTTCTCATTTTGGCCCGAGCCAGTTTGGCTCAGCGGTTAGAGCGTCAGCCTGTGGACCAAAGAGTCCCCGGTTCGGTTTCAACTAAGGCCATATACCTCGGTTTCAGTTTGTCCCCGGCCCTGGTTGGGGTCGTGTGGGTGGTGACCAGTCAATATGTCTCTCTCACATTGATGTTTCTCTCCCCCCGTCTCTTCCTCCTACTCTATAAATGCAAAACTGTCCTCGAGTAAGAATAAAAAAAAAGTTCTCATTTTGAAGACTGTTTCACATAAGTTTCATGTAAATTGTACATTAAAAACTAAGGACACTAATGTTAAAAAAGAAAACTGTGGGGTTAGTATAAAACTGTTCCCTTAACTCTGTGGTATTGTTTCTAAAAGGGCATAAAAGTAAAGTAGGAAATAATAACCACTTTCAGACACCTTTATACGGGGCCAATTTAGAATCATCAAATTTAAAGAGCAAGGTATATTAACTGAAAAGGCATTCAAATGAACAGCCATCAGTTGGTGACGGATGTCAATGCAATATGCCAAAGAAAAGCCATAAAGTGCTTCCCTTGAGTGAAAAGTTATGTATGTTTCATATAAGAAAAAAACACAGTATATACAGATTTCAGTACTATCTGAAGTTTCAGGCATTAACTAAGGATCCTGGAATATATATCCCATGTTAATGGGAGACTACACTGATCTATCTTTAACTCAACACACATAATGCACATTTTTCAAATACTGGCTCACTTTCTGGAAATCCCCATAAGATAGCCTATGAAATTGTATAGAAAACAGAAATTTATATTTCTTTCTGATTATAAATCAAAATAAACTATGTATAGAAACATGGATAATTTACCCCAAACCACATTAGTTACTCTATTCCCTCAAAGCTAAAATACTATTAAAGTATTTTAGAGGACTTTATTACTCCAGCAACTTTTTTGTGATATTTCACTAAACAATTTATAAATTGTGTAAAGCAATCTACTACAAAAGATTTTCTATTATAACATATAAATAAAATTAATAAGTTTCCTTAAAACTTTGAATGCAGCCCAGCCAGTGTGGCTCAGTGGACTGAGCGTTATCCCAGGGACTGAGAGGTCCTGGTTCGATTCCTACTCAGGGCACACACCCAGGTTTCCAGCTTGATCCCCAGTAGGGGGTGTGCAGGAGGCACCCAATCGATGTTTCTTTCTCTCTCTCTCTCTCTCTCTCCCTTCGTCTCTCTCTCCAAAAAAATCAATAAAAACATTACAAAAACTTTTTTTTAACTTTTAAAAAGTTTAAAACTTAAAAATACAGTGATTTGTGAACTATATTTAAGAACATAATTCAATGACTACTTCAGTTAGTTAATTATTGCTATTAGAAAAAGTCCCAAATTCAGTTATAAAATCTTTGGGATAAGGTACTATTCCCAAATAATTATTTGGGAGCATGCAATTTTATCTACTGATGTCCACAAAGCTGAACTCTGAAAATAACTGAAACCACTAATCAAATTTTCAATCTATGCATACCTTAATATTTTTAGCTTTACCTCTAAAAGTTTCCTATAAACTTTATTATATTCACAGTATGAAATGAAAAATTTTAAGTCTCAGTAAAAATAGTTGATATATTCTTTTTCTTTTTAATATTGATTTTTTTAGAGAGAGATAGAAAACTCGATGTGAGAAAGATACATCAATCGGCTGCCTCCTGCACACCCCCTGCTGGGGCTGGGGATGGAGCCTGAAACCCAGGCATGTGCCCTGACTGGGAATCAAACCTGGACCTTTTCAGTCCATGGGACAATGCTCAATCCACTGAGCCACAGTGGCAGGGCAGCTAGTATATTCTTTTAATTACAGAAGTAGTTACAGAAATCTAAAGCACAGCTAAAAGGTAGCAGTATGGTTTTCACCTTTCTTGGGGAAAAAACTGGGATACACATTGTTTCACACACACACGCCCCACTTTATTTTTTTTTATTTTTATTTTTTATTTTTTGATATTTTGTTCAGATAGAGTGGGAGAGGGAGAGAGCGAAACATCGATGTGAAAGGGACACATCGAGTGGTTGCCACTCGCACGACCCAACCAGGGCCGGGGACAAACTGCAACCGAGGTACATGCCCTTAGCAGGAACCGAACCCGGGTCTCTCCGGACCACAGGCCGATGCTCTAACCACTAGCCAAACCGGCCAGGGCACACGCCCCACTTTAAACTGTGGCTACATCATGTATTAATAAAATTCAACAAGAAAAGTAAATTTTACTTAATATGTCAATTCAGCTCTATATAACTGAGATGTGTCCTAAAAATTATAATGATATTTAAAGTAAAGGAAAGGGTTAGCTATCAAACCAAAAAGGCTTAAATTCTTTCTCTCTCTGCTTTTGAAAGGCTCCTTTGTTGTTGTGTTACTGATACAGTTAACAGCCCAAAAGACTAAACTCTGCCCTATGTTATAAACAAAGTCCACTAAAAAAAACTTGTGAAAATGTAACAAAGGGCACAATTTGAGCAATGTAGATATGATTAAAACAAAACAAACCAAAACACTAGTTTGAATCTACCAAATTAAAATTATAATACAGATTAATACTGTCAAACCATCTGGCAAAAAAAAACAAAAAAACAACTATTTGTTTTTATAGATTTTATGTTCAAAGGTAATTTACTTAAGATTATAAACAGACCTAGATTTCACACCTTCTGATCCATCTCTAACATAAAAATGGTCCCTTTATAAAAGGCACTAAGTTCATCTTTTAAATCTATGCTTTCTTCATAAATTTGCTCCTCTTAACAATGCCTTGAACACACTTAAAAGAGCTAGTTTATAAGAAATGCATGTTTTAGTAGTTATTAGAGAAACTAAAATCATCCTTATTCTGCTTCTAAAGGATCTTTGCATTGACAGAAAAATGCTTGTTACTGAGAAATAACAATGGTAATATCTCAATTTATGAGTTAAAAGGTGTATAAGACCATTGTTGGGAAGTTTTCTGAACTATTTCTCCTAAATAAAAAATTCCAAAGCAGAAATGCTTTCAAGACAGTCCAGGTACTTCACAGATTCAAAGGGACATCAGTATTTTGAAATATTCGTATTTGTATACTTTCTGCAAAAGTGAACTATACAGAAAAACAGGGAAGAGGAAAAAAACACAAAAGAATAAAATATCACCTGGCCAGTGTGGCTCAGTGGCTGAGCATCAACCCATACACCAGGGGGTTGCCAGTTCGATTCCCAGTCAGGGCACATGGCCGGATTGTGGGCCAAGCTCCCAGTGAGGGGCAGCCAGGAAGCAGCTAATCAATGCTCTCTCTCAACGATGTTTCCATCTCTCTCTCCCTCTCCTTTCCTCTCTCTCTAAAAAAAAAAAAAAAAAAAATCAATAAAAAAAAAGGAATAAAAATCATGTCAACCCAACGGGCTAAAACATAAGAAAAAAACACCTTAAGATAGACTTTGATGAGACAGATAAAGTCTTAATAAATTCAATAGTCTAGATTCTATATTCTAATATTTTACACTCTCCTTGTTCCTTAAAACAAAGCAGCTAATTTGCCTGATAACAAAATTAAACTAGAATGGCTCTGGATATTTTTCTTTTCTTAATGAGAATCATTTTCCCTACCTTTTTCATTTCTTCAACATAAGCAATCATGGCTTCCTCTTTGGTCATATCACCCAATGAATTCCAAGCATCCCTAAAAATGAAAATAGCAACATAACGACAAGAAGACACCTGATTTTCAATTGGTCAGAATACAATTTATAGTTAATAATACAGGGTCATTAATTTAAAATGATCTCTACTTAAAGCCATATTACATTTCCAAAGGATCTCTTTAAATACACCACCTTAAATAAAAAGCATTACAGGGAATAAACTAGCAAATTAAAAAAATATTTTAAATTAGTAAGTATATAACCCATCTATAGACTATAAATTACAAATACTATATTATATAAACTATAGACTATTCATAAATACTTGCTAAGAAATCTTTAGAAGTTTTTATATCATAATAAATAACAATGATGAATAAATATTTTAGAAGCCTCTACATAAACTCTAACAAGCTATGTTTTTTTTAATCCTCTCCCAAGGACATTTTTCCATTTTTTGTTCAAGTAGAGCGGGAGGGAGGGGGAGGAAGAGAAAGAGAAACATCAACGTGAAAGGGACACATCAGCCCTGGCCGGTTTGGCTCAGCGGTTGGAGCGTCGGCCTGCGGTACAGAGGGACACATCGATGTGAAAGGGACACATCGAGTGGCTGCCACGCACACGACCAACCAGGGCCAGGGACAAACTGCAACTGAGGTACGTGCCCTCAGCGGAAACCGAACCCGAGTCTCTCTGGACCGCAGGCCGACGCTCTAACCGCTGAGCCAAACTGGCCAGGGCCTAACAGCTATGTTTTAAACAAACAGAAATTTTGGTTAAAAGTGCCCATTGACCCTGGCCAGTTTGGCTCAGCGGTTGCAGTGTGGGCCCGCGATCCAGAGACCAGAGTTCAGTTCCCGCTGAGGGCACGTACCTCGGTTGCAGTTTGTCCCCGGCTCCAGTTGGGTCGTGTGGGTGGCAGCCAGTCGATGTGTCTCTTTTGCATCGATGTTTCTCTCTCTCTCTCACTCCCTCTCTCCCTGTCGCTCTATCTGAAGATGAATGCAAAATTGTCCTCAGGTGAGGATAAAAAAAAAAGTGCCCATTAATTTAAATAAAAGACTAACATACACATTTGAAAAATGGAAATGATTTCTGATAAAAAAATAAACAATGTGCCCGGCCAGGGTGGCTTAGTGGATTGAGCATGGTCTCATGGACTGAGAGGTCCCAGTTCAATTGCCGTCAGAGCATTTACCCAGGTTGTGGGCTCGATACCGGGTGGGGACCATGCAGGAGGCAGGCTACCGATGTTTCTCTTTCACAAAGATGTTTCTATCTCTCCCTCCCTTCCTCTCTCCCTAAAAACAAAAATCAATAAAAACATTAAAATAGAAAGCTCTGGCTGGTTTGGCTCAGCAGTCAGAGCATCAGCCCGCAGACTGAAGAATAACAGGTTCGATTCTGGTCAAGGGCACGTACCTTGTTTGCTGTTCGTCCCTGGTCCTAGTGAGGGTCATGCAGGACACAACCAATGTCTCTCACATCAATGTTTCTCTCTCTCTCTCTCCCTCCCACTCTGTCTTAAAATAAATAGAAAAATATCCGCAGGTGAGGAGTAAAAAAAAAAAAAAATTACTGAAAGCAGAATAATTTCAAAAAATAAAACTGTTAAAATTTTTTAATTAAAAAAATAATAATTTTTTGCCCTGGCCGGTTTGGCTCAGCGGTTGGAGCGTTGGCCTGCGGTACAGAGAGACTCAGGTTCGGTTCCCGCTAAGGGCACGTACCTCGGTTGCAGTTTGTCACCGGCCCTGGTTGGTCGTGTGGGTGGCAGCCACTCGATGTGTCCCTTTCACGTCGATGTTTCTCTCTCTCTCTCTCTCTCTCTTTCTCTCTCTTCCTCTCTCTCCCTCCCACTCTACCTGAACAAAAAATGAAAAAATGTCCTCGGGTGAGAATAAAAATAAATAAATAAATAAAATTAAAAAAATAATAATTTTTTAAAAATAAAAAAGTGAGGGACAGGGGACAGGAAAATGTTATACCCCTAGATAATGAAAATAGTCTTAAAACTTCTGCCTAAAATGAAAATCTCTCTGTTTATATATATATTTTTCCAGAAGCAGTTTAAGTTCACCAAAGGTCAATTCTGAGGGAAAATGGTAAATTAAATAAAACAAATTAAATAACATGTTGCTATTATATTTAACCTATTATTCATGATTATTCATAAAGCTCCCAGAAAAAGTAGAGAATTAAGAAATCCTCAAAAGAGATTAAGGACTTCCAATTCAGGAAGAAGATATTTAACCATTAAAATGTGTGGCTCTTAAGACATACTTCACCAATTAGCATACTCTATTCATAATGAATAGTCTAGTAAGACATTTTGTTAGACATCTGCAAAGTCCTCAAGAGTATTTAAAACATCAAATGTTAGTCAACTGGAAAAATGGCAGTTATCTCTGAATTTTTTCTTTCCTTTTAAATTTTTATTGATTGATTGATTTTAGAGAGAGAGAAACACTGATCTGTTGTTCTATGTATTTATGCATTTATTGGTTGCCTCTTGTATGTACCCTGACCAGAGATTGAACCCTGACTTTGGCATATCAGGACAATACTCTAACCAACTGAGCTACCTTGCTAGGGCAACTCTGCATAAATAAGTAGAACAACAAATCAATGTTTCTCATTCTTTCCTTCTTTTCTCTCTCTGAAAAAATTAATAAAATTTTTAAAAAAGCAAAATATTTACTCAAGTGTAGTGGGACAGGAATGATGCCTTAGATAAAATGTTAGTAGACAGTACCTGAGTCATGTTCCCAGTCACCTTTGATCTTAAAGGCTCAAAGCAAACAATGTCACTTTACAAGTCATTATTTTTCAGGTCAAAGAAGCAGGAGAGTTTGTTCCTTTAACTTTGTATGGTAGTTGCTCTTGGCATAATAAAAAGAAAAAATTCCATAAAAGAAAAGACTAACTGAAAATGCTTTATTATCTCTGAAGCACCTACCCCTTTTGGTTTTATTGTTTTCCTTGCTTCCCCAAGACTTAACTAGTTGTGTCAAATTCTGTTAATGGCACAAGGAAGATAAAAATTGTATCCTATACCTAGAATATTTTAAGCACAGGATAATATATAACCACATAAATAACTATCACTACAATAAAATTTCCTTCACAGCTCTCTATATAAAATTACCATTTATATCTTCCAATGGGATCCCAGAATGCAGGTCTTGATAGTTTACAGGGGCCTTCAGTTGCCTGCTTATAGAAGCTATAGAACTTGAGCATCATTTCATTAGTTGGCTGGAATGAACCTTTGGGAAACATAACATTAAATAAAGATCACTTGGAGAATACAATTGATAATCTAAGAATACAAAGTCATTGAACGATACAAATTGTGATTTATAATAGTTCTTTAATAGTTCAGATGATTATTTCTGTCCTACAGAAACAAAAGTTATGGCTCTGGCCCTGGATGGTTTGGTTCAACAGTTTAAGCATTGGCCCTCGGACCAAAGAGTCCTGGGTTCAATTCCCAGTCAAGGGCATGTACCTGGGTTTCAGGTTCTATTGAGTCTCACAGGAGGCAACCAATCGATGTGTCTCTCGATGTTTCTCTGTCTCTTTCTCCCTCCTTCTCTTCCACTCTACCTAAAAATCAATGGAAAAATATCCTCTGGTGAGGATTAACAAAATAAAAAAATATGCCCTGGCTGGTTTTCTCAGTGGTTAGAGCCTCGGCCCTCAGACCAGAGTCATGGGTTCGATTACCGGTCAAGGGCACATACCTGCATTGTAGGTATTTGATCTCTGGGCCCAGTTGGGGTCGTGCAGGAGGCAACCAATAGATATGTCTCTTTCACATCGATGTTTCTCTCTCTCTTCCCCTCCCTCTCTCCCTTCCACTCTACCTTAAAAAAAAAGAAATCAATGGAAAAATATCCTCAAGTGAGGTTTAAAAACAAAACAAAACAAAACAAAAAAAAACCCCAGCAGTTTAAAAACAGCATATTCAGTACAATCCATTTTTGCAAAACAAGTTTTTATATAAATTAAAAGCATAGTAGAAAAAAACACATCAAATAGTTAAAAGAGGATCTCCCTGGATAGTATAAATACAGATTATTTTTACTTTCCTTTTTGCTTGTTTGTGTTTTAAAAATATTTACTTTCTTTGCCTTGGCCGGTTTGGCTCAACGGTTGGAACGTCAGCCTGCAGACCAGAGTCCTGGATTCGGTGCCCGCTAGGGGCACGTACCAAAAAAACAGTAATAATAAAAAAATAAAATATATATATATTTACTTTGTGTATTACTTTTGTACCAATAATTATAAACTAAAACTATGAAAACATATTTAAATTTTATAGATTGCCCTGGCGGTGTGCTAAGCAGTTAGAGCATCAGCCCGAGCACCGAAGGGTCTAGATTCCATTCCCTGTCAAGGGCACATAACTGGGTTGCAGGTTGGCTCCCTGGCCCTGGTTGGGGCACATGCAGGAGGCAACCAAATGAGGTGTCTCACTCACATCCATGTTTATCTCTCTCCTTCTCTCCCTCCCTCTCATTTCCACCCTCTCTAAAAATCGATGAGAAAAAAATCCTCAGATTAGGATTAACAAAAAAATAAACAGAAAGCTTTTAGATTAAATAATAAACAGATAACATGTAGTAATCAAAAGGTAGTAGTATATGAACATAAAAATTACAACACAGACAAGGTGAGAGCTGGTGTTTCAGGTTTGGCCAAGAGTGAATAATCAATTCCAAAATCAAAATAATAATTATCTACATGATATACTCTCTTTTAGGAGTACCTATTAAATATACTGTTTCAATTATATAGTTCTTCTCTATATAGCAGAGGGAGAAAAATGAAAATGCTACAGTTATAAATAGTTATCTATTTAAGTAACACAATCCTAAATTTAAAACATCAAAAGCCTCATCTTATAATATCTTTAGGAAGTTAATCAAATAAAATTTAAAAGTTTATTGGTTAAGCCCTGACCAGAATGGCTCAGCAGTTGGAGCATCGGCCTGGGGACCAAAGAGTTGCGGGTTTGATTCCGGTCAAGGGCACGTACCTCGGTTGTGGTTCGTCCCCGGCTCTGGTTGGGGTCATGTGGGGGGCAGCCAATAGATGTGTCTCTCACACACTGATGTTTCTCTTTCTCTCTCTCTCTCCCACTTCTCTCTCTCTCTCTCTCTCTCCCTCCTTCCCACTCTATCTGAAGATAAGTGGAAAAATACCTGGGATGAAGATTTTAAAAAATAAAAGTTTATTGGTTAAAGTGGATGGTATATACATTAGCATAGGTTATAGTAAAAACAGATAACATATAATGAAGGTATTCTGTAAGACACTAAATTAAATTATGATCTGTCCTCAAGGTCCTCACACATGATAAATTAGGTATGTGTTTAAAATATTATCTAAAAATTTACATTTCTAAAGGTCAAGGGAATACCAGACATAGATGCTATAACCTCAGGCCTTAAATACAGATTAAACAAAAAGGAACCAAAACACTCTGACTGGTGTGGCTCAGCTGGTTGGGGCGTAGTCCATGTACCCAAAGGTTGCCAGTTGGATTCCTGGTCCCGTCACATGCCTAGATTTTGGGTTTGATCCTTGTGGGCGAGTATGGGCGGCAACTGATTGATGTTTCTCTCATACATCTATGTTTCTCTCCCTGCCTCTACCCACTTTTCTCACCCCACCCTCTCTCTAAAATAAAAAAAAAAGAAAAACCAACACACCACTACCAGCCCTGGCAGGTTTGGCTGAGCAGTTAGAGCACAGGCCTGCAGTTAGGGCATATGCCTGTGGACCAAAGAGCTGCAGGTTCAGTTCGGTCCCTGGCCATGGTCTGGTCATAAGGGAGGCAACAGGTCGATGTTTCTCTCCCTCTTTCTCTCTCTCCCTCCCACTCTACCTAAAGATAAATGAAAAAATAACCTCGGGTGAGGATTGAAAAAAAAAACAAAACCAGAAAACATAATACACCCTTGGGTGACAATTAAAAAATACAGATAAGATCTTACTCTTTGCAAAACAGTCCAGGGCAAACAAACAATTTACAAGTAATATAAAAATATTTAATAATCATTAAAACAATACTTCTATCTCAATACCAATTTAGTTCCAGGTGCCAACAGTATTTTGAACATTGTCCAACACAGGTTCCATTTGGCAATACCTTCTTAAATATTATATAATAGAAACTTTATTTGCATTTATATGGGTTTCTTAATAAGTGATATGTAAATTTTTTAAAAAAAGGAAAAAAGTAATAAATGATATGTAATGTCAATAATGGTAGTAGACTAGAGACATCACACCTAGCTTTATCAATTTTCAAAAACATATAAAAACATGTAGTTTAAGAAAAAGGCTGAAGGTACAACTCATACAAAACTCTGAGAATCATGCCTTTCTATAAATCCTGTTACTTGGGCATTTTAAAAAATCAATACGTAAATAAGTTCCTATAACATTTCTTTATGTGTTGTTCACTCACTCTTGTCTTTCAATCCCCTATATGTCCTCCTCAAATTTGATGTTTGAGATTACAAAAATACTATTTTGTATACATTTGTTTCCATACTTTTTGAATTTGCACTTAATTTGTATTGAATGGTGTTGAATACTCAGCATGCAGTCAAACAATTATTCGTAAAAATAGAGAACATGATATTAAATACTATAGTCATCCATTAATGTATTCAGTTAGTATTACACTCTAGCACAATAATAGTACTTAAAAGCATCATTTAAAATACAGGTTTAGCCCTGGCCGGTTTTGCTCAGCGGTTAAAGCGTCGGCCTGTGGTCCAGAGAGACCCGGGTTCAGTTCCCACTAAGGGCATGTACCTCGGTGCAGTTTGTCCTGGATGGGTTGTGCGGGTGGCAGCCACTCGATGTGTTCCTTTCACACTGATGTTTCTCTCTCCCTCTCTCTCCCTCCCACTCTATCTGAACAAAAAATGGAAAAATGTCCTCGGGTGAGGGTAAAAAAATATATAAATAAATAAATAAAACACAGGTTTATTTTTTCATATATTGCAAGAAGATACGAAGTAAAAAATAAAAGTCCCTCTCTCCAAACTTCTCCACAGGAAAAAAAAAATTTGAATAATGACCTTAAACTTCCCAACATTGGTCAAAGACATTAAATTAAAAATCCAAAAAGCAAACCCCAAGGAAAATAAATATGAATTAAACCATACCTAGACACATCCTAGTCAAATTGTAGAAAAATCAAAAGTAAAGAGAAAAATTTTCAAGGTAGCCAGAGAAATGACACAATAAATACAAAAGAACAACTCGAATGACTTCACTTCTCCCAGGTCCAATATGAGTATAAAAAAAGAAACTAGTACAATAGAGAAAAAAAAGTGGTAAATATATATTTATTAAAATAAATAGTTTTACAAATGAATGCACATGTTTTCATTTCTTTCCCTTCATATCAAAGTTTTCAAAAGGCTTAAACAGTAGGCTGTGTGTGTATGCGCCACCAGGCATACCCACGCCAACTGTTTTCTAATATACCAAAATCCGCAGTCATTAAGTAACAAGACTTTTGTTTTCAACAACAATATAAAGTTCTTAAAATCTGGATAACATATTTGTCTCAGGCCTAAAAGATCAGTAAGGAATTAATGCACATTCGATGCCTCTCTTAGTATTCCTTTTAAACCCAGAAAAGACGTAGTTTTAAAAAGGAAGAGTAGAAGCACAAAGGTTAAAAGAGGTGAAGTTCGTAAAACTAGGGCCTCCGGCCTCTGCAAGAGGTTTCTTCAGCCGGGGCCACAGTGCACGTACCGTTTTTCGGCAAACTCTGGATCACCTTCACCGCCGCCTCAAACCTGGTTTCGTGCACGGATCTCGTGTCCGCCATCTCCAGCCGCCAGCGCCACCCGCGGCCCCAAGGTCTGTCGGCTGGAATCAGGAAGCAGCAGCACCAGCTTTCCCAGGAGCCTGCATGAAACTGGAACACCGAGCGCAGCAGCGGATCAACAAGCCCAAAGGGAGGAGGCCCCGGAGCGCAACTGGTCAGCTCCCTTGCCCTATCCAGGCCACGCAGACCGAGGTAGCCCGGCTCCTTCCACCTCCCGGGGGCGTGACCAAGCCGAGAAGCCGGCCCGCGAAAACAGAAGCACTCACCGAGAGGAAGACCATCTCTAGCAGAAGGTGGAGGGGCTCCAGCAACCGGTGGTCGCGGAGCCGTTCTCCCACCCGCAGGACCCTGGCGAAGCAGCCACACCCCCCATACCGGCGGGGTCTCTTTCGCTCCGCGCCCTCCCCGCAGCCCCGCCCCAGAGCCACCCGAGGCCCCACTGGCTGCGCCGCGGCCGCGGCTTCGGCGCAGCCAACTCCACCCACTGCCCCTTGGCAGCAGCGATGACGCTTGCAGTCCGTCGGTTCCCTTAAATTCTAAGGCTTAGAAGGACCGGAGAAAGGGGGAAAGAAGTGAGATGGGTCAGCGGAGGACCCCGGTGCTCACTTTTGGAACAGACCGGACCCACGTGTCCGCACCAGCGCAGCGCGCACAGGACACAGATTGCTGGGCCTGGGCCAGAAGCAGCGCGCGTCAGTACCGCTGGCCAAAACCAAAAGACTCTGGTCATCAGCGCCCGCTCTGTTAGGTTAAGGTTAGAGGAAGGTGACACGACGTGAACAAAGGGCTTTAGATCGGAAGAGGCTTGGTGTGACCCTTAAATTCTGCCATTTAAGCCCTGGCGGGTGTGGCTCAGTTGGTTCAGCACGGTCCCAAGCACTGAGAGATGGCTGGTTCCATTCCGGTTAAGAAAACAGAACATGCACTGACTGTGGGCTCCATCCCGAGTAAGGGGCGTGCAGGTGCCAGCCCACGGATGTTTCTATCTCGTTCCCCCTCATAGATGTTTCTTGCAACCTCTCCCTTCCTTTCTCTCCCTAACATCAATAAACACTTCTTTAAATCCTGTCACTTAAGTTCTGCAACCTAGGTTAACTTAGCCTCTCCGGTGGCAATCTTTATACCACCCCAAAAGGTAGATTCATTTAGGGACGCTGGATGGAGGTGTTAGGCAGTGCTTGGCTCGCAGGTCTCCGACAGCCGCGGAGACAAGGACATCCAGGCAACAGCCAAAGGAAACAGAGGGGAGGTGGCCCGCTACTAGAAGGCCTAGCTCCATGCCGATTTAATAGGCTACAGGGCGTGGGGGAGGGGCGAGCGAGGAATCTGCACAGATCACCGCCTCCAGAAAGGGCTACCCTGGGTCTTCACCTTTCCAGCACAACGCCGGGCGTCCTAAGGCCTCTAGGAAGTGCTCCCAGGTCCATCGTGGGGGGACTCATATGAATCGTAGGGGCGGAGTCCGGAGGCCCAGAAACCTCAAAGTCGCCAGGTCGTTTTTGTCAGATCGGGATGGGTTAGGAGGGTTACTAGTATAAATCTAGACACAAACCAGACTATAAGTTACTCTTCCCTCAGAGCCGCAGTGCCGGCATTTACCTTGGTATTGCCCGGCAAGGCCGGTCCGGTAATACCCGTGACGTCCGCCCCTCGCCCTGCCCCGAGGACTTGTGGGAAATGCAGTCTCCCGGACTCGGCGCTTCCGGACACCTCCCGGCAGCGGGCGTTCCTTCCACCTGTTCCGATTGGGCTTCTTGGTCCCGGAGCCACGCGGCGGAAATCCCTCCTTCCTACAGCGCCCCACTGGATGCAAATTCAGAATACCACATCCGCTTCAGCCTAGGGGAGCGCAGTGGTGGCTGTGGGAGGTATCCTGGTGTGACCCGACTGGAGTCAGAAAATTGGGGTCTAATTTCTTGCGCCTGATGCTTAACTAATTCTGAGGTTATGCATTAGAGAGCCAGGAGTGCTCCCTGGCGGGTGTAGCTCAGCGGTAAGGGCGCCGCCCGCTAACCGAGGAGTCCCGGTTGGATTTCAGCCAAGGGCATGTACCTCTGTTGTGGTTTGTCCCCAGCCCCTGATGGGGTGGTGGGTGACAGCCAATCGATGTTTCTCTCTCTTTCTCTCTTCCTCCCTCACTCCCTCCATCTCTATCTTAAGATTAATGTAAAACTGTCCTCAGAATATTAATGTAAAACTATCCTTGGGTGAGGATTAAAAAGAAGAAGAAAGCAAGAGTGCTGTCAGGCAATAAAGACTACTGTTTACTTCGTGGTGGGTTTTTTTTTTATCCTCACCCGAGGACATTTTTCCATTTTTTGTTCAGATAGAGTAGGAGGGAGGGAGGGAGAGAGAGAGAGAGAGAGAGAGAGAGAAAGAGAAACATAGACATGAAAGGGACACATCAAGTGGTTGTCACCCGCATGACCCAACAAGGTCTGGGGACAAACTGCAACCGAGGTACGTGCCTTTAGCAGGAACCAAATTCGGGTCTCTTTGGACCACAGGTGGAGGCTCTAACCACTGAGAAAAATAGGCCTGGGATAGTGGTGGTTTGTTTGTTTTTTTTTATCCTCACCCAGGACATTTTTCCATTTTTTGTTCAGATAGAATGGGAGGGAACGAGAGGGGGAGAGAAAGAGAGAGAGAGAAACATCAATTTGAAAGGGACACATCAAGTGGCTGCCTCCCGCACAATCCAGCCGGGAACAAACTGCAACCAAGGTATGTGCCCTTAGCGGGAACCGAACCTGGGTCTCTCTGGACCACAGGCCAACGCTCTAACCGCTTAGCCAAACCGGCCAGGGCCCAGTGGTGGGTTTTTGCCAAGTGTATGAGACATATTACAAAAACATCGTAAGGTGTTTAGGAATGAGGAAATTGAGATTCATTATAAACTGATTTGCCCAAGGCCCCACAACTTAGTAAGTAGCAGAGCCAGGAGTCAGTCAACCCCACCACCACCACCCTACCCCCAAAAAACTTGCTTTAAATCTTGAGCTTTTAACAGAACACCGAAGAGACTAATAATTTTTCTAATTTACACAAACTAGGAAGACTTTATGTGTTGAATATCTATTTCCTTTACTCTTCTTATTCTTGTGCATTCTTTTCAGTTCCCAGTCATGCATACTTTTAAAAGGGTTTGGTTGTTTATTTCTAATCTAGGACTTCATTTTTTACAGCTTTATAAAGCTTCTGAAATAAGCTGATTTACAGTATGTTTATAACAGCACTGTTCGGTAAATAGCTCAAAACTTGGACACACTCAGTGACCAGCAGCAGTAGAATAGATAAATATGAGCTACCGAAGAACAGTGAGAACAAATGAATCATACCTATTCAACATCTTCTATGAATCCCATAAACATAATGTTAAGGAAAAAGAATCTAGATTCAAAGAGAACATATTGTATGATTCCATTAATATAAAGTTTAAAATCAGGCAAAACCAACATATGTTCAAATTCAGGTTGGAGGGTTGAGGGAATTTTAGGGTTCTAGTAATGTTCTGTTTATTGAATTAGGTGCTTGTTATATGAGTATGTTCACTTTGTGGAACTCTATTCAAATGTGTAACTAAGCCCTGGCCGTTTGCCTCAGCAGTTAGAGCAATGGCCTGTGGACCGAAGGGTCTCAGGTTCGATTCCTGTCAAGAGCACGTACCTGGGTTGCAGGTTCCATCCCTAGCCCTGGACTGGGTCTGGGTCATGCAGAAGGCAGCCAATCAATGTGTCTCTTGCACCAATGTTTCTCTCTCTCTTTCTCCCTCCCTCCTTCCACTCTATCTAAAAAAAAAAAAAAATCAATGGAAAAATATCTTTGGTTGAGAATAAAGAATTTTAAAAAGTAGAAAGCGAAGATATGGTTTTTACCTGAGACATATACATAATAAATTTTAGACAGATTAATGATCTAATGTGAAAATACATCTTTAAAGTTAGAGGAAAAGTAAAGTTGCTGTATTGCACAACTCCTTGGGGCACAATTCATGTTGTAATCCATATTGTTTGGTGCCCCCTAAAGTTGTGCAACACAGGGGTCTCATTTATGATTAAATGTTAAGGAAACATTTACTTAACAAACCCCCAAAATTGAATTGCAAGAAGAAAATATGGATATATGTCTTAGTCAGCTTAGGCTGCAGTAACTAAATACTTGATACTGGGTGGCTTAAATAAACAGACATTTATTTCTCATAATTCTAGAGGTCGGGAAGGCCAAGATCAGTGGTGAAGACGCCATCCATGGCTTGCTCGTGGCTGCCTTTTGGCTGTATCCTCACATGTCCTTTTCCTCTGTGATGAGTGTTCATTGAGATCTTTCTCTTCATCTTCTTTTAAGGGCATACTAATCCTATCATGAGAGTCCCACCCTTATGGATTGATCTACACCTAATTACCTCTGAAAAGAGGTGAGCAGCTGCTAATGTGCTAAGAGCTGAAACTGACCAATATTAGCTGCAATTTTCTTACATCTTTTCCAGAAAGTTGCTAACACAGACTCCAGATCCAAAATAGTTATATCAGGCAGATTCTGCCAGTGCAACTGGTGTCTAGGTGGGGAGACAGATTCCTACTCTGCCATCTTCCCAGGATCCTCTCCTGAACATTCTCTTTTAAACTGGTATTGTGCTAAGTAGTTTATGATTAATCTCATTTGTTATTCTTAAGACAGGAATTTCTGTAATTTTCCCAGAGTCTCACAGCTAGTGCATGATCAAGCTTAGATTTAAAACAGATGATGGGAGACACTTCCAGAACAGTGGAATAGGGACCTTCAAAGCCCCGCTTCTCCAGAAAAACTGAGAACACTGATACAAATTGCCTTTTTCCAACCTCTGGAAATTAACCAAGGACTTTCTCCAGTCATGGGGCATTAATTCAAGAAAAACAACTGAATCTCAGAATAGCAAGCTTTGTGTTTTTGTTTTTTTTTAATTTTTTAGGTAGAGTGGAAGGGAGGGAGAGTGAGAGAGAGGGAGAAACATCAATGTGAGAGAGATTCATTGATTGGTTGCCTCCCACATGACCCAGACCAGAGCCAGGGATCAAACCTGCCACCCAGGAATGGGCCCTTGATTGGGAATTGAACCCGAGACCCTTCGGTCTGCAGGCCAATGCCAACCATGGAGCCAAACTGGCCAGGGCACTTTGTGGTATTTTAACTTGCCTAATTTTTATCCCTCTCTCCCTATCTCTGTAGTAGCCTTGAAAACAAACTGCCTGGAAATCACAGTGCTATGAAAAGCAACATCCTAGGACTCACTCGAGAAGGGAAGAACAGATTTGGAATGCCCCAAAAAGTTCCATCCATAGAGAATTGGCACTTTTTGACCTTGCTAGCAGCTCCCTGGAAAAGCCCCATTTTCAGGGTTTTTTTT